TTACAAGTAATTTTATTAAAAAATATTTACTGAAAAATTTAAAAACTATATAAAATTAAACTAAAATATCAGCTATATTTAAATAATTTTTATATTTCTTATTTACAATTTGTGTTTTCCTTTTAATTCTGATAATTTTCACATCCTTATTCCCCACTTTAATTTTCCATGGTTAATCATTTGAAGGTGTTGTATCTCCTCTGGTTTGTATATATTCTTACAAAACACGTATTATTGTTTGCATAGACACATTGATTATCTACACAAATTATATTGATGGTAGATCTTATTATATTATTGTCATTTAAGATCCAAACATTTTGTTACCTCAGTAATTCTATATATTACTCCATGGTGCTTATGTTTTCTTATAATATTTTTATAGCTTCTTTCTTCATTTAAGTTTTTGGCTTCTCAAGAATTCTTTTAATATTAGTTTGCAATATGAAAAACAATACTTATTTAATGAGTAGCAGATCACTCCCAAATGATTTCACTCATCATTAAAGTCTTCATCACATATTCAATTACCATACACACCTGTGTCTGCCTTCACATTATTTTATTCCATTGCTTTTTCTAACCATATCCAATTTGCAAGGAGAATTTACATGGTGTAAGACACTGTTCTAAATTCATTATGCATAATTCATTTATCATCTTCATTATAGGAAATAGGGTTTCTTCTTACCCCCTTTTTTAAAAGATTTATTTATTTATTTAAATGCAGGCCAGAGGTGCAGGGAGGGTGAGACTATTCATCAGAGACTGAGCAGGGTGCAGAACAGGTGGATCCACTGAAATACACTGCTGAGGGGAGCAGCGGCTGAGACAAGAGAGGTCTTCTGTGCCATGTGGGTCAGCTCCCTGGTTGGGGATGGAACTCGTGCTGCAGTGGCTGCATATTGCTTTAGTGATGAAACTTAACCCCTTGTGCCACTGGGGTGGGGGGGCCCTCTTCTTGCCCCCTTATTACAGCATTAGACACTGAGGCAGAATGAGTTTAGGTAATTTGCTCAAGGTGACAAAGGGATAAGTGGAAGAATCTGGCGATGTGGTTTTATTAATTACAGAACATGGAGATGGCTCTCTGCTACTAACCTCTGTGCTCTGCAGTAGGAACTGCAATGTTGGTTCCTTACATGAGTTATTTAGATGTGTATGTGCATGTGCCTCTGTGTGTGTTTATCCACATGGCCAATGTTATTGCATTATGCTCAGAGTTAAGGACGGTAGCTTACATGATGTTGACTTCTAAAATTTGTTAAAACTTCTCCCAAAGCCTATTATTATGAGGTGAATATTTCTGTGATTTCTGTGAATATGTTTTTAAAGATTTATTTATTGATGCATACAGAACTGGGGTGCAGGCCAGAGGTGCAGGGGCAGTGGGAGGAGTCACCAGAGAAAGAGTGGGGAGCAGAACAGGCAGATGGACAAAGTACATGGCTGAGGGGAGCAGCGGGCAGGTCAGCAGAGGTCCGCCGCACCATGTGGTCACCTTCGGGGCAGGCAGGGATCGAACTCACATTGAAGTGGTTTTAGCTTCTTAGTGCTGTGCTTTAACCAACTGCGCTACCAGGAGGGCCCAATTTTTGTGAATATTTTTAATGTAATTACATTTTCTATTTAAAGGATGGTGTGTTCTATATATGCCCACCCAATCTTGCTTGTGTGATTGTTCTCAAGAACATCTACACCCGCTGCTTGGTTTTATTGTGCCTGATCTATCAATTTAAAGAGGAAATATGGAAAAACCTCTCACCATTATTGTGACTATGTCCATTTCTACTTAACACTTTGATGATTCTTGCTTTATATATTTAGCTCTGTGTTGCTTTCCTATGAGTTATTTTTTATTATTTTACAGCAATTTCTATCCCTACTAATGCTTTTATATTAGACTTTATATTATGAAATATAGATTAAAATGCAGTTGTGAAAAATTATACAAAGAGACCCTCTATCCTTTACCCACTTTCCCCAGTGCTAACCTCTGAAAAATTACAGCAAACATTACAACCAGCAAACATTACAACCAAACAAAATTACAGCAAACATTACAACCAGGGAATTAATGATGCATTCAAGACACAGAGATCACAAGTCTCGCACAGTTGCATTTTTATAGCCACACTCTCTTCCCTCTCCTGTCTAAGTCTACCCAACCTCTGGCAACCACTAAACTGTACCTCATTGCTATTACCTTGTCATTCCTGGACTATATATATGGTCTCCTGCAGTGTGTAGCCTGAGGGGTTGGTTTTTCCCTCAGCCCAGTTCCCTGGAGATACTTCCAGGTTACCAGGTATAGTGATCATTTTGCTAAGCAGTAGACCTCAGTGTGGATCCATCACTGTCCCATTTTATATATATATATATATTTTTTTTCACATCCAGATGAACTTCTATCTTGATTTGAAATACAGACTAGGCTTTGCATTTTGCAATATCTTTCTCCTAGTATTTATTTTAGTGTTGTGAATTATATTTTACGTATTATTTTATATTTCCATTATGACTGCATTGTGGGATGTATATGTATTATTTCAAAGTCTATAATACAGACAAATATTCATCGACTGTGATTTTTCTAGTACCCCACTCATCAAATTAGAGAAAATTTAAAATTTACCAAAATAAAATACTATTAAAGAAAGGAGCCATAGAATATTATGAAGCTCTGCTATAGACAATAGGTTCACTGGACTCTGATTTAGCCAAAAATCATGATATAACTCTTGTGGGAAGCTAAGTAGAAAGGTCACATGACAGGTACAAAAGC